AATAAATAAGGACCACCTTTGAACAACAAAAACCTTTAGGAAGAGAAGGGAAATTACATTTTTGAATTTATGTTACTGTATAGATGTATATGGAATTTAAACATTCAAATATTCATTTAGAAATATTTCAACCACCTCTTACATACATTCTTTTGTTAGTAAGATACAGAATGATTTTAACAATCAGAAAAGATCTGTTTCAAACTTTCTGTTACGTATTCACAATAAGTTTAAAAAGGAGAGCTACAACTGGTAATGATGTGCATGTGAGTTATAAACTGCATACTGTTATATATGAAAAAAACTAATGTTACATCAACAGTTCTCCTATGTTACACAATAACTGCATCTGAAATATTCATACTTAGTTGAGGTATATATAAGTAAAGTAAAAACTGTAAGCAGCTAAAGAAGTTTTTATTTTTATTTTTTAAAGCAATCAACATGGAGTATAAGGTGATTGGTATTGTGTTTATTTTGATGCTCATTAGAATTTTCTCCCCACCAAGTTCTAGAAAACAGTCATGGGTTATAGTGTTTAATGCAGAAATAAAAGACTTAACAATATTTTGGATAATATTCATACATTTCAACACCAGAAGTACATCACATTACTTCTCTCAAAATTAGAACTCACTTTCCACATTTTTTTCACTAAACTAAAAATAAGACATATTATCAATAGCATCAGTGTTTCCATGCATCATAGTATTACATATAGCAAGTAGTGAAGGTTTCAGCCAGGTACCACATACCAAATATTTGACTGCATAAAAGTAAATATGAAAATCTGGGAAAATTTCAGATACAGACTGAACATGATGCAATAAAAATACTTAAATAAACTATTGTATGATAATAGCAAGTGAAATCTCATATTACAGTTAGCTCTGTTCAGTGTCTACAAATGCAATAGAATTTTTCTACAGAGATGATAGAATTTTATGAAAAGTGTAGTTTTGTATGGGTATTTACAATACTTCCTTAAATATCAATCTATAGATTTCTGAGACTGATTTAGTTCATGAATGCTATCAGTGTCATGAAGAGTAATTCATTGATATCCTCTTTTTTCAATGATCATCATACATGATTTAAAATACTAAAAAGAAAAAAAAGATCTTGTGGAATTACTTGGTGATTTTGTAGTAAAGCCAGGGAATTGATATTAATGGTTGTCTCGTTGTCCAAGCAAAAATTAGCTTTGAATAACTGAATTTGTGTATAGAGTTGTCTCATTGAACAAACATAAAATCACTGATCTAAACTTTGTTCTTATTTGTAATGTGTTTAATAAATGAATTGTAGAGAAAAATTTACACAAAATGAACTCCAACTTGCTATTTCAAGGCCTGTGACGGTTTTATTGTCTTGAACTTTTTACATGTTCTCCAGTAATTCCTGTACACTGAATCTGAAAATGATATCCATTTTTCTCCATCATGTACAGATTTTTCACAAAACGTCATATGTACTTTTACATAAGTGAATCATTTTCTTTGAAATCAGATCACATTTTTTTATGATTAAAATGTTGACAACCACTGGCTATAGATTTCTCTAAACCAATCATGACATGAGAGTCTTACAGATCAGTCTAGAACCCATGAGAAACACCCCGCTATATAAACAGTTAACAGGCTGCATGATGTGTCACTTCTGGATTGTATTTATTTGTGCTTGCACTTTGACATTATTTTTTTCTTTTCAATATTAATTTTTCATTGCTATGGCAACAAGAGGTTGTTTAAATGACCCAAATATGTTCTGTTATATGTGAGGTAAATTTGTTGTAAAGAAACAAAAGCAAACATTACATAATTTGTCAAAAGGCATATTAGGTGTATTTTTGCTAGTGAAACCATGGTCATGAATAAATGAAGTTTTTTCAAACATATAATTGTCATTGTTTTTTATTTTCTTCAATTCTGTAATTATGTAGTTTCATTAAGTACTTATGGTTTCAAGTATCAATCATAAGTATAATTTTGATGAGAATAACCTTAACATTGTTATGAAAAAAAAAAGATTTTTGTGTTCTGATTAATCAGCCTCTTGAGCTATCAAAGTAACGTACTGTTGCTAGTGGTACAACAAATAGGATTTTAGGTTGTATCTATTGAAATATTGAATATAAGTCTAACAAGGTTATAATCTTATCGTAAAGATCACTGATTTAAGCCACATTTAGAATACTGTGTTCAGTCTTTGGCTCTTTATACTAGGAGAGACAATGAATTCTTGGAAAGAGTTCAGTGAAGGGTTACTAGGATGACACCTGAGATGATAAGGTTGTCATACAAGATCTCTGAAATTGTTTTATTTTGAAAAATAAGAGTTGGAAGGGATCTGACCGAGGTGTTTCAAACTTTTAAGAAAATGGACAGTGGTGATGCACCATTTTTATATTTAATACTTAGAATGATAGGACTAGGAGACAAAAATATTAATTTTGGCAAGGTAAGATTCATCTTTAGCTAAGACAGTTTTATCTTTCTAAAAGAGTGGTTGATATTTGGGATAATGGGATAGGTTGCCTTCAGATGCAGTGAATTAAATGGATTAGGTAACCTAGATGGACCAACAGGTCCTTTGTTGTCCTTAAAATTTATGTTATTATGGTGGTAGTAGAAAATAAGATAGTTTAGATGAACCAAATGTCCTTTTGTTATCTCTTGGAAATGAATGAATGAAACAAACAAAAAACAAAACCTAATTAGCATCTTGCAGCTGACATTCAAAATATGATGATGCAACAACATAATTTAAAGTGAAGAGGATTGTAAACAAAACAGAATACCATTAAAAAATGGTACTACATTTGGCTCCCGCAAATAGGTAAAGGGAAGAATGCAGTAAAGCAACAGTGAAAATGGAACTATACACTTTCCCTCAAAAACATGCATAGTTAAATATATGTTGAAATTATGCACTGAAAAAAAAATCATGCTGAAAATTCAATTCAAAATAGCAACCATGATTTGCAAAAATACATTATAAAACAGACTACACAGAAGCACTATCAAAAACAGAATATAAAACTCTTATAGTGGGTGCAATCTGATGATATGCATATAGCTAGAAAGCTGTCAGATATAGAAATCCAAGTAAGGATAAGATTAACAATAAATTTACGAAATCAAAGCAAATGGACAAAATGGTGCACAAGTTTTGTAAGAAGGCCAAAATGGTAAATACAGTTGCTTAAATAGATAGAAGTCAGTAAATTTAAAATAAATTTCATCAATAATTCCTTGTATCCTCTCTCATCCACATCTTTTATAGGTTGGAATTAAACTTAGCTCTTCTTTCTTTTAGAGACAGAAGCCAAATTAACAATTTTCACTCATCAAAGTTTCTCCAATGTCCACCAACTTTGGACAAATTGTTCATATCCCATCAGATCCTAATCCCTTTTTAAGTTATAGAACATATCAGTCAGAACCAAGCTACATTCTTGAATTGTTTGAATTTTTTTCATTTCAAAGTAACAAGACTTACAAATTAAGGAATCTTGTCTTTATATTTGATATAAAAACAATTTAAAAACTATAACTACAATAGGCTTTATTTTCCATAATAACATGCCATTGTCATTCAAAGATTTCCTTAATGTGTTATTTTTCTTTTCACAATAGCTCATAGGCATATAAATTATAACTCTTGATATCAGTATTTATGTTTCGCACTAAAAACTTTTCATTATCTCTCTCC